ACTGCTGCTAATTGATAACTGGATATCTTTTTGTTTTAGAAAATTCCATGGCATCGCAGATTATTGAAAAAGATGCGGGTTTTATTTTTCCAATTTTCCGTCTTTATATGAAAAAAATTGAAAACTAATACGGTTGATTGACGTAAAAAAAATTTTCTACAAAAAACCTTAATACATTTTTGCTCTAAAATAATTTGGGGAGCCAATAATCGAATGTTATGAATTTTACATTGAAATCCCTATGATGCGTTACGCAAGTAGTGTATACATCTTGCGTTTTCAAATCGCTAGTAGACATATCTCGTCCAAACATCCTATAGTCGCCTTTTAAGAGTGCTATCCTCCGACAGTCCGCTCTTGAAATATGGGAAATTATAACGATTACGATGATTCAAAGAGGAAATCTGATCGGCACAAATTAATTTTTTTCGTTGACCTTTCTTAGAGATCATGAAAGACAGACGACTTTCTTAAGATCAATTCGTTACACTTCCCTGAACTTGAATTTTCCTTGGGACGACTTCTTGGCGAAAGAATAATCCAGCAAGAGCAAATTCCACATGGGCGAATTTCCCGGGCAGAGTATAGGTACTGCGGGTGAATCTTCCGCGGGCGAATTTTCCAAAGAGAATCTTCCTAAAACCGTTTATAAATCACAATCTTTATTAAGGATTCTGAGATTCTTTATAGTTTTGTATTGTCCGTCCGTCCTTGCTATAACTCTTTTTAAAAGTGGCCAATCGCGTTGAAATTTGGCGTACGGGGGTACCTACTTTTGATTTTCAGGAATCTGCCTCAACAGACACAAAAGATATAGGACTTCGAGGCAATAGGAATAACTGTGAGCTCAATGTATCAACATATTTCATTCCCTAGGTCATTATGGAGTTCGGCCTTGGCAAAATTATTCTTTACACATGAATTCGTTACCGACCGGTGTTACCGTTACAGTACACTACAATTTAAACTTTTGAACATTCGACCTGTCAAAACTAATGAAAACAAGAGATTATCCAAATAAAATCAGGATCTACTGAACCATCTTATAAATTTTACTTTCAATTATCTAACTACCAAAAATTGGATACGAAAAAATACAAAAGACCAAAAAGTTTCTAAACAAATAAGAACGTTAATTTTTTAGTTTACAATTTACCAGCAGCGTTGCGAAAAAAAGTTTAGGTGCAGAAAAATATGACCCCTTAAAAAACATCATCCCGTATATTCTCGCTACCACCAATTATGTACGAGTATAAGCCCTTCACCGTAACTTATATTCAGATATAAAAAGAAAACTTAATAAATCGTAAAAGTAACACCGTACAATGTGCATTGTACATAACCCAGAGAATAAAATACTCGGACTGCGATGGTTCGGTCATTTGATGCGGATGCTAGAGGATAGGTGGCCCAGGCTAATCTTTGGCTGGCAAGCACCAGGCAAAAACAAGCGTGGAAATCTAAGGCGCTTCTGGAATGAAGTCGTACGAAGAAATATGGATGAAAGGTACCTATAAGAAGGCACAGCTTTCGATAGAGAAAAAGAAGGAATTGCGTTGCGGGTAGACAGCAGTAGGTGTAAAATGAAAGTGCTATTGTACTTGTCTAACTAAAAAAAAACATAAAATCGTAACACCCCTGTAAATAGGCAACGAACAGTTTTTGTGGACCTACACGTTTATAGGAACTTTTAATCATAAAACAAGCCAAAGAATTAGCGTCTCCTGTATGTACATTATCTTTGGGAACACTCTGTATATATTTCCTCCAACGTCTTTCTCATATTCTATGAGCCAGTTTTGACTCCATCTTCATCAACAACCGTGATCATCAATAAGATCAGTCAGATCTTGTCCAGGTTACCGCACTCCCGTCTCCCTGTGTCGGTACCCTTTTCTGACGGTAGACAGTCATATAAATGCGCCATTTTGATGGATTTCATTCAAAACCCTCCACAAAAAAGTACTCCATTTTTGGGGCATTTTTGTCATAGTTTCAGCTTCTATTGGCGGCACGAGAAATAGAGACCGCGATTCGAGCTTTAAGAAACTTTAAACCCTGTGACAACTGACAAAATTCGTAACAGAAAGTATCTTTTGGACGCCCAAAGTCGACTACCCCTGGAAAGACACGCGCCCTGGTGGTTAATTTCTGCTCTAGTCAAAAAAACAAAATTCCGTCACGCAGAAGATATGAAAAAAATCACCACGTTCGTAAACCACGCACGGGGATGGCATCCAGATATCTCCAACCCCACACCATGTAGCCCTCGTTTCTAAAGTTATTAATTACACGGCCCGGTAGGTACACTCATCTTTCTACAAGCGATCTTCTAAGGGTCTTCATTTGCTACCAGCCGGCCAAAGTAAGGAGATTAAAAGCTACCTTTTTACAAATAAATATGCAAAAATGCGCTAAAAATTGGAGGATTCAGTTTTATTTGATGATAAAAAAGAAGAGACTGACTAACAATTTCACCTTCAGTTTGAAGTGGTTCCGCAATTTTGTTTGTAAAGTTAATCAAAACATAATTCAAATCTTTAGCACAATTTGCGCCAGAGTTGGACTGGGTCAAGCATAGAGTGACCCAGTGACCCGGTGACCCAGTTAGTTTACTGACCCAGTGACCCAGTTGACCCAGCTTGACCCGGTGACCCAGCTTTACTCAGTGACCCGTCTTGACCCGGTGGCCCAGTAATTAAATTATTGTTAGGTATCATCCAAAACAATTTCAAGTAACTTTTAATTTTAAAAAAAATTTCCTCAATAATATTCGGCAACAAGCACGTAGCCCAATTTCATTCAAGAGAACTAATACCTAAAAAAATCAAATGCATTTGTTTATAGTTTGTAGTCAAGTAGTCAATGAAAGTATTTAGAGAAAAGATTTATTTGGATTAAGCTAACTACATAGTAGAAAAAAATTAAATGTGAATGAACACCACTGTAAGCAAACTGGTAAGCCCTGAAGCAAAGAAATAACATTATTCTAATACAATTCGGGACATGGAAAGTTTTTTACGGCAGTATAGCAAACATCACAGAAATGGCAGTTGTCAAGCAATCGAGTATTATTTTCAACAAACCAGGATTTCATTTATTGCATAATCTGTACACTTGAACCGAGGGCACTGACTTAACTGCGTTATTCGATCAAACTAGGTGACTGGGTCGAATTGGGTCCCCGGGTGAAATTGGGTCGCTGGGTCAAACTGGGTCACTGGGTCAAACTGGGTCACTGGGTCTAACTGAAAAGAGTATGACGTGACCCAGCGACCCAGTTTAATTTAGTGACCCAGGTGACCCAGTCCAACTCTGATTTGCGCCTGCATTACATTCAAAGTAATTTAAACACAATATTTTTTTAAAAACTATTGAAACTGAATTGGAGTAGGATTATAGTTGCATTTCCATTTTGATTTTTTAAATTTCCAACATACTCGTAATTTTCAAGAGGGTCTTCATTTAAAAATAGAGTTCAAAGGAATGTTCTATTCATTTTCGAAACATCCCATAATAATAAATAATGGTTATTTGCCACCCAGTTAAAAACCTTGCCTTTTCTAGGATTAAAATGTCCGGGCGAAATCAAATCTGTGAAAATCACTGCACACGTGCGTATTTATCGCGCTCGCGCGTACATTTTCGCGTGCGAATAGACCTTAGAGTCGTCCGCATTTTTCAATTTTTTTCCTTTTGTAATGTAATATGTAAACCTATTCATTCTTAATATAAAGTCGCGCTATAGGCCTAACAAGATTTGAAATTTTCAAAATCGCTTTGGGATGACGCCTAAAAGGGACCTAGGACGCTTTATCAAGCTTTCTGGAGCTAAAGTACTCTCCAAAAATCTAAAATGGATCAAGGTGGAGTTTTTGGAAACTGAATCACGTATACAGGGTCTTTTTAAAGGGACAATTAGTCCCTTTATGGGAAAGTAGAAAAGATTCGCTTATAAAAATGTGTGAACATTAAGGCTGGACAGTACATACAGAACGGAGTATGTAAAGTTGCCTATTGTCAATCCCCAAATTTGGTTATTTATAATATTAATTTGTGTTCGATGGTAAAAACATAAACTTAGTCCATTTTCTATCTGTATAAAACCAGCCACGCGGCGGAAGCTATCTTTTCGCGCTTTTGAGGAAAACTTTTAAGTTGTTTTTCCAAGATAACTTATCTATAAATGAAGTTGGAACAATTTCCAAAATTAAGATACGTTCTTAAACTTAATATCTAGGCAATAACGCCAGGAAAATTTATTTCCTTTTTTCTTTTCCAAAATATGACACCCTAACAGCCCTCGACGTTGCCCTTAAAAAAAAGATTATTTTAAAACATTTTAGTAAACCCCGGCGTTATTGTCTAGCTAAAGCATTCACCTTTCACAGGAATATTCGACCCCTTCTTCAACTTCACTCAGAATTAAGATATCGTGGAACGAAATCACGCGTTTTCGGGCAACGGAACGGGTGTACTGTCCAGCCTTAACGACTTTTTTTAAATAGTGGCAGTTCCGTATAACCGGAGTAGCCTTATTTTAAATGGTAACAATCCACTTGCAACAACATCTGAATGGAAGTTATTGTTGCTAAATCTAAAAATGTTCAATTGTAAATATATTAGATTTTGAAGAAAATGATTATTTTGTACAGATTTGTAATTGTATGAGACTTCAATGATTGTAAATGGAATGTAATTTTACAGAAAATTTTGTACCAAAAGTGATGCCTGTAGAATTCAATTCTACTTACCTCACTACCCACAAGATAATCTGGTGTAATGTACTTCAATCTCAGAGCATCAAGAAACCTAAACCTCTCGCCAGGGAAGATTGCCGGTCACAGAAGACCTGATGAAAAAAAGATATTGTAAATTGACACAAGGTGTGCTGTGACAGGCAATCTTTCCTAGAGAGAGTTATATCTTACATGGAAGAGAACCAGAATTGAAGGAAATCTCTGGATCTGAAAAATCTGTTAGGCAATTCATTGAATTAATTTCTTTCAAAAATCTATTTAATAAAAATGTACAATTCCTTAAAGCCCTAATCTAGCAGGTGTCCTCCTAGGTGTCGTCCCTGCACTTATAATTTCCTGTCCTTTGTTAAGGGCGGCGTCACGCTTATCGGCCGCCTCCTTACGCGCGCGCATCTCCTCCTGAGCCATGTGCATTTGATTTTCCATCTCCTGCAGGTGTTCGGCCGCCTGCTTCTTCTTGGCACGCCCAGACTTCCCAGTTTCTTTTACCGAGAAGAACATGGGGCCGAGTTCCGCCAGCCAGTGCCCGTCTACGGATGTCACACACTGCATGTATTCTCTCGCAGTCATCACTAACTCGTGGTAAACGACGTAATCTGGGGTGTTGCCGAGTCCGAACAGTGCGGACGTCGCGTGCAAATGACAGGGCATTCCTGTACGTAAATTTACATATTCGCCTATACCCTTCAGACGCGCGGCTTGGTGGAAGTAGGCTGCAAAGTTGCAATTAACTATTACGCTTCATCGACTGTTCGCACATACCTGAGCAAATACACTTTCTCACAACATCCCAATGGGTACCACATGAATCGATTTTCAACTTTTGTTGAATTACTATGTCTTTTAATTGCTGTCGCACTTCCCTCACTTTCCTCATGGCTTTCACATGAATAAAATGCTCATTACACCAATGCGACGAGTAACTACAAAAACCTGCTTTAATCTAAGTAACTTAATTTTGACCGTACTTGTTCTGCTTCCACTGGTTGTAAACGTGGAGGTATGTGAGGTGGTCGCTTTCCGGTACTTGGAATTTTTCACGAACACTATCGGCCTCCTCCTCCCTTCCTTTGGGACGGTAAAATATTGATGGAACAGACAACATGGAAACTAAAAACAAGTTAGTGGTGTAAAGCCTCACAATGATAAAGGGAAATACCAATGGTGAGTATTTCCTCAGTGCAACCCATTTCGCTCGAAACAATAAGCATCTGACATTGAGGTGGATCAAGTGGAAATTCGGCCATTTGCCTTCCTAGCTTCGTGAGCAACCCTGTGTTGTCCAAGGCGCCCAAGATCCACAGTTGGTACAGCGAATTAAGAATGTTATCCTGGAATGGAATAATTGAGATTGTGGCACTCAAAAAACAGCTACCTGAGGTGGGGGGTCCATGAAGTGAAACTGCAGGAGATCTTCGACCCCGAGTGACTTTAGCAGAAGTACAGTATTAGCGAGGTTTGTTCGTTGAATTTCAGGTACGTTGGTCACCAAAAGTTCGTCTTTGTACTGCCGTTCGGTGTAAAGCCTAAACGCCTGTCCTGGACCGGTTCTTCCCGCGCGTCCGGAACGTTGATTTGCGTTGGCCTGGCTAATGGGGTAAATCTAAAAATGGGAATGGAGCAAACGGATTATTTCGATGGCAAAGTAGTACTTGCAAAGCGTCCATGCCTATGCGTGGATTGTACACTTTCAACTTGCAATAGCCGGAATCGATGACGAAGATGATGCCGTCGACGGTTAGTGACGTTTCGGCTATGTTAGTCGCGACGACGCACTTACGTATGCCCTCAGGTGAACGTTGGAAAATTTTCGCTTGTAAGTCCGAGGGGAGTTGGGAGTAAATGGGGAGGATCGAGAGCTCGGGTGCGTGCTCAATTTCGCTTAAACGTTCCGCGAGCACCTAAAATTCGTTTCATTAAACCTGTTAGTCGAATTAAAACCTACTTCACACGTGACTTCGATGTCTTCTTGGCCAGGCATAAAAATTAGAATATCGCCCGACGGCGGTTGGAGGTGTATTTGCAAGGCTTGTTTAACGGCGGCGTCTACATAGTCTTCGACCGGGTTTTTGCTGAACAGCGTTTCGACCGGGAAGGTTCTGCCGGGAATTGTGAACGTCGGTACGTTACCGAAGAATAAGGAGAATTTGCTGGAATCCATGGTGGCCGATGTCACAATTAGTTTTAAATCGTGTCTTTTTGCTACAATCTGGAAACAGACAGTAGAAAAGTTAATAAGGAATTACGTAACTGAAATAGAAAAAAAGTACTCTATAGTGATTCAAATCCAAGGCTTCTCAATGAAAGGGTGTACATATCTCACATACATGTACACAACTTAGATTCAAAAGATATCTTTTATTTATCGAATATAGAACCATACATCATTACAATGGTTGTACACCTACTAAGGAAAGCTATATTTAGCTTTCGTTCGTTTTTCCAAAAAAGTGTTCACATGAAAAAACACGTTTTTCCTTCGACAATGTTTTAATTTTACTGAAAACTTTTCTCTTTATGGATTCCCATGGTATTGGAATCGAATTTCTTTTAATTAAACTTATCAAAGAAATGTCGCGATACTCAGAAGTTAATTAAATAAACAAATAAAAAGGAAATTGTACACATAAAGGCAATGCGAGATACTGAAACAAATATTCAAGAGCGACATCGGGGCGCCATCAAGTGGATAAAGGATTAATCACCGGCGATAAGCAATCAAATAGGATGTGGCGCATTCTTTCCGAGAAACATGATGTGTTTATTCGAAAATGTTCTAGAAGTTTTTGTTTGTTATATAAGCAAAGTTAATTGTGTTTAATTTTAGTCTCAAGATCGATGCCTAAGTGGCATTCGCGCTCGTGTGTTAAAAAGTGTTTGCTAGAAATTTGAGTACAAGACTAAATAGTAATTAAATGAATCTATTTCAGGAATGTTATTTAAATCCATTCATAATTAATTGTACCCATTTAAATAAGTCACGTAATAAAATTTACAGTTACAGTACTTTCTACAGAGTCCTACATAAATAAGTGGGTTAGGTGTCATTTTTTTCAATTCCGCACTGCTTTTTAACAATAATGTGACAAATTTATTTTTTAAATTTATCTTCTTGTCAAATTTAGAGCTTTACGTGTTCAAAAAGTAAAAGTGTAAGCAAAAACCCACAAATCTGTGTATATGAATTTCCATCCCGCAATTTGGACAGTATTAAATAAATATTTCTCCCGAAATTGTAATATGTGGTTCTATCAAGAGTAATAACAAAGCTATATGCGACATAAATTTATACTGCGGTGTTATTAAGAGTATTTATAGGTAAAAACTGTTAATCAAACAAACTCAAGGTTTAAGAGCAGGTATAAATATGAATAATTATGATTCATTAAAATATTTATTACAATACATCACTCGAAACGTATACAGATACCTCCTTGGAGTATATAATTTTCATTTCTGCGTCTAGTTTGAGAAATCGAACTTTTTCCAACAAGTTTTAACCTAAAGTAGTCTTAAGGAGCGGTGGGACCATATTAAATGGGTCAACCATGTTCAAAAAATTTGAAATGAAAAATGAAAACAATATCTGACATTCTCAGTTTTTTGGTGATCTCTTATTTTCTAAGAAGATTTTTCTAAAATTTCAAAAGCGTTTTTTTAGGTAACAACAGGAGGCAACTTTGTCCCCATTTAAGCTACACTGTATCTCTCACTGTTACGGAGATCCCAATGGTGAGTCACGAATTTGAAACACCCCGTACATAGTATGTTTGATCGGGTCGGTTTATATTTCGTAAAGGAACGATTAAAACAATTAACCATAGTTTCCAAAGGGGGCAAGATCACGTTCTGGGTAGGGTTGAACCTCGCCTGGCCACCTCCTGACTACAAGGCTGCACTCCTTAACAAACAACGATCAGATCTCCGACGCCTCTTTTGCTACTGTCCATCTGGCTCCATAAGAAGTCTTTGGGGAGGATTCCATGTGAATTCTGTTTCTTTCTGTTAAATATTTCCTATGTTTCAGCGATGAAGTAAGGAGTCTCAATCCTACCAAGTGTCCGCCTTGGAACTTCCGTTATATGTTTAAGGAAACAAAGCGGAAAGAGGGCATGACAACGTACATACTGGTAATAGAATGTTGCCTAATAGTGTTCAGAAAAGGAGTTGCATGGAAGTTCAATGTGTAACATTTGTTTTTAGGGGAATACCTTCGGCTTCGGAATTGTCGGGTGGCACCTAACTCAAAGAACGGAATTTCATGCAGAAAATACTACAACATACAGAGACCATTGTCCCTCGTCTGTAACTGTCACTCCTCAGCATGTGCGCAATAACGTGGGGCAAAGTATGTATTTTTTTTCGCGAGGGACAGTATTTTAAATAATCCATTATTATCGTTTATATTCAAATCTAAAAGCAGTATGTCAACATTATAAGAGATAATTTTCTAAAAATAGTCCTTGGTGGGTTTGGTGTTGATATACATACATTTACACTTCAAGGTTTAAATTTAGAACGTTGAATCAACATAACATTAAATAAAATTTGTTTAATGCGATCCGGTGAGCTACACAATTCTGTTTTCCATAATAATGATCTATTTTTATTCAGTTAGAAATATAGTATGCTCAAATAATTTTAAACAATACAATAATTCCTGAGAACCAACTTAATACACTAGGATAGTACAGTTTCATATCTCTCTTCTCTCTTCGCTAAAGTTCTTATAATGAATGATGAAATAAATTAATGTAAAAATGGCAACACCGCCATCTATAGTTTGAAAACAATGAAATTGGGTTCATTCACGACCACCATAATGGTTTTCCATTCTGCCCTCTTAAGCAAAAAGGAAATGCCTTTTCAGTTTTCGATGTTACTTGTGAACAGGATTTTTGGAGCTGTTAATCTACGTTTCTTTACAAAAATCAACATTTTAGGTTTCTAAGAATATAGCTCCCAAAATCTATTCCATTAAATGCATAAACTTAAATAAACGAGACAAGTCCTTTTTGCAGCATTCTGGTCGACCTATTTTCTGTGACTACAGTTCTAGCGTTGAGTGAAGGAACGGTTCTAGCCTAGCGACCACCAATTGCTCTCTTGTAAGCAAAACAATAACCGAAGCTGCGTTTAATATCAACGGTTGCCAGAAGGTTATCATCTCATAAATTAGATAACTGCGATAAATTATTTTGTAACCAAATAAATATCTCGAAACAAAATACAAAACAAGTATAAATTGTGCACAACTCTTGTGAAGATAAAGCACGTTTTTAAAAACCGAAATAGCTTAGTAAATGGTTGAAATAGAAATGAATTCCTTTCGTTGAGACCTTTAATTAGAGTACCATGAAGGATAAAATTTATTTCAATCCCTTCCCTCCTCCCCGAGCCGTCGTAGCGTAGGAACGTTATAGTTTGTACACGCGCCGGGAGGGCTTGAGACAGCAAATATCGAACGCGTTTCAACAGCAAGACTATCATCATCAGCGAACAACTGATGAGCAACAATGGGTGGACAACGATGATTAATGAAAAGGAAACAGTTTTCTCTTAGTCTAAGAGATTTCTTGGACGTAAACGTACCAACATAAAATGAAGTATCACCTAACGTTATCAATAGCATTCCAGCAATTCGCGATTCAGATTTAACACCAGAGGCGCTGATGCACCGGCGTACGCAAAGGGGGGGCTGAAGGGGCTACAGCCCCCCCCCCCGAAATAATCGACTTAACTACTCAGCGGCACATCCCGTAAGTCGTCAGTCATGGTATAATTATTTAAATGCCAAGCGACAATAAAAATGTTGCAGTTGCTGGAAAAACTACCTTACTTTTTCCTTCGCTTACTTGATCTTGCGAATGTGTACGACATACGTGAAAATTTACATACTTTGGTCTTAATTCTCGAGTTTCAGCCCCTCCCGAAAAAAAATCCTGCGTACGCTACTGCGCTGATGTAATTTACCAATTGTGTGTATTGGTGGGAGCGGTTGGTAAACATTCGGTTATTCTAGCAGTTTTTGTATGACATTGTACCAATTTGCGAAGTGAATTGAATGTATCCTCCCGTTTTTGGGACTTGAAAATATTACCCCTTAATCCTACAGTACCTGAAACGAGGCTGTCTTAAATTAGCTTGAACACATAATTAACTTAATTTTCTAATTACAAATAAAGATTACAATTTATCATTCGATTTTAGCACACTCGTACAATAACTCGCCGACATTCCCTTACGTTGATTATGTTTTTTAAAACAGCCTTACTATTCGTGGCACAATTACACTGACCACAATTTAAACAATAGGTATTCTTCGGTACTTGCTTTAATAAATGGCGATTTAAATTTTGTCTTACTATTTTTGGCATATCTAACCGCACAGAGTGCACGTAACATCCTTCAATCTGAATATGCCGCTTTACTATGTAAGAAAGCAATTTACGGGCAACCCTCGGGACAACCCTTATATACGTTCTGGGAAAATGCTGAATGGAAAAGCCGTTCCCGCCTACACCACTGAAAAGCCTCGTATATAGTGCGGCACTACTTCATTTTCTTGTTTTGTCCACCTTAAACAGCAGGCAGCTAATCAGAAACTCAATTTTCCCAAAAAATTCCAATAAAATCAATTGGGCTGGATATTTTTAAAGTAACCCGGATATTTTAGGCATCCAAGATTTAGTTGAAATGTACTTTATTTTAAGAAAATGGAAAAATAACTCATCTGGAGACTTCTCACGTTATCCAAATAAACATATTATTGTGTAGCAAAATATTTGTTCGTTTTGTTCAAATAAAGTTACAAAAAAACACGCGAATTGGCTTTTTTAATGAACCCAAAGAATACTATTTCAAATTGGAGGTCTCCCCTGAAGTTTATAGCTACCATGATAATTGATAATTAAAAATTCCTTGCCAAACCAAGTGTCAATTTACTACGTGCAATTTGTAACCACGCTCTAATTATTCGCCCAAACAAATTATTAATGAACGGAAAACTATGCGTCTATAAATATATGGCGAAAACAATTTAGAGAACGCACTATTACATCTCCTTGAACGTTAAAATTAGTCAGTGGTGTAAACAGCGACAGGCGCCACCGCCCATACGTCAGTCACCTATAGACCCCGCTGTATAGTGTTTACTAAGGAAGTTCAGGTTAATGCACCTGCACGAAGGTTAATTGAAGACGAAGTATGTGCGTCATCGGAAAGACGAGCCAACAATGTTTTACGTTGTTGCACTCACGTAGTGTAAACATAATAATTATATAATAATCGTCATATATAGCGTCGCAGTAATTGATTTCGAAAGTGTTTGTGTATAATTAGGTACTCTTGCTAATCATTTTCAGTGGAAGGTTGCCGCCAAAATAGTGATATCTCTCGTTATCCTTATCGCATTTTACCGCTACTTACTTTTCTGCATTAAAAGGCAATAAAAGGGAACTTTTTTGTATCAATATTTTAAAAAAGCTGTACGAATGTCCGTCCGTCCGTCATTGCAAACTCTATTAGATTGAAAGTTCTGCGATTAACCTTCTTATTTTAGGGCAATTTTCTTAAAAATTTGGGCAAACGTAGAGCCATAATTTCCAGAAATTTATGTTTGGCGCTCTGAAAACGTCCATAAAGTAATTTACTTGTTGATATAGAAACCAGTTATTGTCGCTATACACCTGATTAATCACCTGAAAATATACAAGACGACCATTATGTACCTATGTTAGGTTGATAAAAATATCCTCCAAGGGCACTACAAGCAATAAAGTATCCTTAACTGCACAGTATTCTCAAACAATCTATGCACTCATTACTGAATATAGGCTGATTCAAATTCAAGGACCACTATGGGGATCTCGGAAACTGTAAGAGATAGGTAGGTAGTTTAAATTTGGCAAAGTTGCGTGTTTTGATGCTTGAAACTGAAAAATACTTTCAGAGATATCCGGAAAAAACGAAATTTTGCCGACACATTATTATGGCCACTTTTTTTTCTAAAAGATGCTAGTTTTAAATTAAATTAAAAGCCTGACGTTTCGTCTCTGGTTAATCACCATCAACTGTTTTTTATGGAAGTCATTTTTACTTTTTGTGTCATTTGATAAAGCATTTTTTCCTGATGTCAAAAATGTAAGCATCTCCATCCTTACATGGCGGCCGTCGAATTTGAATCAGGCTGTAGATGGTAACATCAAAATTGGAAAATATTTGCTCGCCTTAGCAATACGGGAACATGTCAGAATAACTATATAGTTTTTAATTAAGAGAGAAAAATGTTTATTACAAAAGTTTCTTTCTATTATACAGGGTGGTGACTTGCGTAACGCATCATAGGGATTTCAATGTAAAATTCTTAACATACGATTATTGGCTCCCCAAATTATTTTAGAGCAAAAATGTATTAAGGTTTTTTGTAGAAAAAAATTGTTTACGTCAATCAACCGTATTAGTTTTCAATTTTTTGCATAAAAAAGACGGAAAATTGGAAAAATAAAACCCCCACCTTTTTCAATAATCTGCGATGCCATGGAATTTTATAATACAAAAATTACGGCAATATCCGTCATGCCATGGAATGTCTGCTATAAAAAAATCATATTCTATCAATAAGTACCTATTATATTAAGAACAATAATTGTTCGAATAAGTCACCATTAACTGCAATACAGTAACCAAGTCGATCATAAAATCCATTTCGAACTGCTGATAACTGGATACCTATCTTTTTGTTTTATAAAATTCCATGGCATCGCAGATTATTGGAAAAGATGCGGGTTTTATTTTTCTAGTTTTCCATCGTATATGAAAAAAATTGAAAAGCAATACGGTTGATTGGCGTAAAAAAAATTTTTCTACAAAAAACTGTAATACATTTTTGCTCTAAAATTATTTGGGGAGCCAATAATCACATGTTATGAATTTTACATTGAAATCCCTATGATGCGTTACACAAGTGACCACCCTGTATAATGGTCCTGGAATAATCTGTTTTGAAAATAAGTATACGGGGTCAGGTAAAGTTATCGGAGCTAACTTTATTTTCTGAATGGATCATCCTGTATATTTTAATCTGAAAATTTACTAATAATTTTTTAAAAGCCTTTTGAATCACGCGTATTATATTTTTGAAGAAAAAACTTAATATGATATTTTTTACGTAAAAGTACGTGTAAAAAATGAAGTTAGGTCTGATAACTGATTGACCTGACACGCATACTTCATTTGAAAACGGCAGATTTTTATTTATTTTTCCCCCGTATCTAATTGAGTGATTTTGATTTTACCATTTTAAGTTTGATCCAAAAGAGCTCATGACGCCTATATTACTTTTGCTATCAGCACTACGAATTACGGAGATACGCTATAAGTGTCGAAAATGGGACACCCTGTACACAATTCTAGCAACTCTCGCAATTTTTCGGATGCATCTACGTGCACGATATCGACCAGCGGCCATATTTAGAAAATTTGACAAAAATCTTCACGGAAACCTTAAACATTTTCTTAAAAACTTGTAAAACTTCGGAAATGTTCATATGGGTCTTTACAGAAACCGTGTTGAAAAACATAATTCCCAGAAATTAGCATAAAAATCCTTAAAAGGGTCCTATCTCTCTACGGCAGTTTCCAATGGTTGGGATTACGGAGATGTATTGGTTCAGACAAATATGCGTGAATTAATTTCTCGAATCGGTCATAAAACATAAGTTTGTTTCTCCACCCTGCTGATGGTGCTAGATCAGGTTATTATTATTACTAATAACTGTTGGCACGTGTTTCCTTCTTCGTCAAGATTTTTCTTGGTTGAAGTGCCAGATCTACCGAATGCAAAAAAAAGAACTAAATATGTTGAAAACGGACGGACGGACGCAATTACCATAAGAGCGCTTTCCAAAATTTAATACAACGCTCGCCATTACGTCCTTCAATAAGTCCCGGAACGGTTACGTATTTGCGAAAGAAGCCCTAAATTTTCCACAATCTTAATTAAAAGTTAATTTCGTCGAAAGTGAGGTTATATTAGTCCAAATTTCATGATTGTTTTTCAGTTGGCAATTGTGTTCTTAACATTCCTGAGTGTCAACTGTAGTCTCGTTATTTTTCCACGATTTAATAAACTTTAAACAAATGATGTACAACTATTATAGGGATACATGTGTTTTTAA